CTTGACTATACAATGGAGATCCCTTCGGTCTCACAGGACTATGGTAATTATTAAACACAACATGCAGCCTATTTAATGGACCTCAATGCCTTTAAGTGGTAGCTATTATTAGTATCCATTTTATTGTTATCAAAACTAGTATTTTATCAGTATTGATGAAATTTTGGTCCCAAGAAATGAGTGGGAAGAAAGGGAAGACATTTCCAGAGCCTTTGAATGACTCAAAAGGGGCAATTTACAAAGTGCTCGGGTGCAGAATGCACTGCAGGCTGTGGCCGACTCTTCTCCAAGCTCCTTCTGGAACTATTTGATCTGTCTTCTTTTATGCCGAGAGTTAGCAAGGCAAGGTTCCCTGTTCTTTCTGCAGGTGGTATAAAGCCCAGGACACAGGCAGCACTCAGTCTAACAATTTCACCTCCTCTCTCTTTTTAGAGCTGCCCCAAGAGAAGAAAATCAACTACTCTCTGGGTAATTTTTCTGGAAGAAAAGCAGCATCAAAAATCAGAAACTGCTTGTTTAACTTTCCAAAGAAAGAGGCATTGTGATCTCTTCACATTTTGTGGCATGTGTCAAATCAGATCGTATCAAAGGCAGGGTGTAATGGCATCAAGGAAAGGAAAAGGGAATCAATTGGAAGCTTCCATCTCCTCCATGTGGATTAGCTGTGGGAATGTGGCTGTTAAAATCATCTCTGTGAGGCTGCCAGAGCTAACACCATGACAGGCGGCCCGGACCTAAGTTTCGGCTTCCCCAAAATGGTAAGATTCCCTACCCCCATCAGGCCACCTGGAACCAGCCAATCAATATGCGCCCAGTAAGAAAAAGGGAATCTATCAGGGAAAGCTGAAAAGCCCGTGAACGCCCAAGTTTGAAAAAAGCCTGCGAAAGTTTGGACCAATAAAATTGCTTGGCAAACATGTAACCAATACACTTAAGCCAGCTACCAACTGCTTATGCCCACCCTATAAATTTGTGTAACACCTCGGGCTCGGGGCTCTCTGACCCCGCACCACTGCGTTGGATGCGGCAGGAGCTCTGACTCGAGTCAGCAATAAACTTCCCTTTTTGTGAATTGCATTGTCTTGGAAGGCTTCTCTCTTCCCGCTCAGGGATTCGGACATCGGGCATAACATTTAGGGGCTTGTCCAGGATACCTTGACTGGGGGAAGAGAACACTTCCAGGACAGAGGGTAAGGATAGATAATAGCACCAGAGCTCAGGCAGGACAGGAAAGTCCAGTGTAAATCCGAGGCCCTGCTGTGAGGCAGGAAGGTATCTGGCACAGGAGAAAGCTTTCTATAAAGGGGAGAACGGATTGGACGTTCCAGCCGGCGTAAGGCCGAGGCCAGCGAGCGCGCTGGAAGGCAGCCGGCTCTGCGGGAAGGGGAGTTCCTCTCCTGATCCCGAGTCTGGTGAACAGTGGACGCCATTCAGTAAGGTGAATCTGCTACCGGGAGGCAAGAAAATTCAGGGGGCCCGAAAACGCAGCGCTGTGTTGTCGGCCGGCGTTTGTCTGTCCGTGTGTTTGTCTTCGGCTCTCCGTGTTTTTGTGTGTGCCGGCATTGTCTCTGGTCTCGTTCTCTTCTGGTGCATCGTTCTCTTCTCTCTCTTCTGACTTATTCTCCTCTTCTTCTTCTCTGATCTGCCCTCAACTCCTTTTCTTTTCGGGAGTTTCAGTGAACAGGCAAATGGTTGTGGGGGCAATTGATGAGTCCCGGCCAGGGCTACACTCTGGCGGACTCGGAAGGCCCTACAATAAGTGAGCCTCAGTAACTAGAGCCCGACCGGGTGAAACTCTCCTTTAACATCCCTAACTGAGGACGTGGCCTAAAATTCTTCGTGTGGGCACGGGTCAGGCACTTAAAGGCCATTAGGGCGCCTGCCACTTGAAGACTCCTGTGAGAGGATAAGGGGGTCACGGAACGGGCTAGAAACCCCTAGGGTGCCCGCCCCCAGCAAGAAAACGTCTGTGCAACGACGCAGGCACATAAACAGCTCCAAAAGCATACCATAGCCCAACCTCTTGGCCGCCACCACTCCCGATAGGGTTTTTGGTGGTCGTTCTCAGTGACTTCTCTCTCTTTCTTCCCTACCATTTATTCCTTGACCATGGGTCAGGGAGAATCTACCCCACTTTCTCTCATGACTGACCACTTTTCAGATGTCAGGGCCAGGGCCCATGGCTTGTCTTTGCTAGTCAAGAAAAGTAAATTAATAACTTTTTGCTCTGCAGAGTGGCCCGCCTTCTGGGTTGGATGGCCTCCGGAAGGTACCTTTCAACCGTCCATCATACAGGCTGTGAAGAAGATTATGGCTCCGGATCCCTGGGGCCATCCAGGTCAGGTCCCCTATGTCATGGTTTGGCAGGATCTAGTGGAAAATCCGCCTAAGTGGTTAAAACCTTTCATTCACAAACCTCCTAGTTCTTCTAATCCACAGGTCCTGGTGATGGAGACCCCCCAGAGAAAACCAAAAAGAAAGAGGACCCAAAACTAGTCTTTCAGGAATCATCTTGTCAAAACCTGATAGACCTAGAAACGGAGATGAGGCCTCCGCCTTATGTGTCCTCCTTGCAATCCCCTCCGAGGAGAGAAGCTCCCACGGGTGAACCGAGAGGATTAAGAGGGCCAACGGGAACCGACCATGAGGGGGGGCCAGCATCGGGGACCTGGGGGAGAACTAGGGGATATAGGGGTGAGCAAGACCCTGGGGACCCAGAGTTACCTTCATCCACTGTCCAGGCGCTCCCCGTCCGAGTGGGACCAGCTAACCCGAACGGAGAGCGAACCTACCAGTACTGGCCCTTTTCCACGATTGACCTGTACAATTGGAAGACCCAAAACCCTCCTTTCTCAGAGAAACCCCAAGGCCTCATTGACCTCTTAGATTCCATTTTGTTCACTCACAACCCCACCTGGGATAATTGTCAGCAGCTGTTGCAGGTGCTCTTCACCACAGAAGAACGGGAGAGAATCCTGGCAGAGGCGCGGAAATGGATCCTGGGGGCTGACGGGAGACCAACCGCCCAGCCTCATCTCATGGACGGGGGGTTTCCTCTGTTGCGGCCTAACTGGGATTTTGAGCGAGCAGAAGGTGTTGCGGCCTAACTGGGATTTTGAGCGGGTGGAAGGTAGGGAGCGTCTCCGAGTGTACCGCCAGACTCTGATGGCTGGCCTGCGGGCCGCAGCTAGGAAGCCGACAAATCTGGCGAGGGTAGATTTAGTAAGGCAAGAGCCTGCGGAGAGCCCGGCAGCCTTCCTAGAGAGGCTCATGGAAGCCTTTAGGCAATATACACCTATGGACCCCCAGGCTGAGGAGTCACGTGCTGCAGTTCTACTAGCGTTTGTAAATCAGGCAGCCCCAGATATCAGGAGGAAATTACAAAAGATAGAAGGGTTGGGAGAACAGACGATACAGGATTTATTGAAAACAGCTGAAAAGGTATTTAATAAATAGGGAGACCCCAGAAGAAAGGGAAGAGCCAATTTGACGGGAGGAAAGGGAATTAGATGAGAAGATCAGGAAGGAAGATAGAGAATATAGAGCGAGGGAAAACTGGAAGAACCAGAGGGAGCTAGCCCAGATTCTTTTTGCGGAGATAAAGGCCAGAACAGAATTGAGGGAACCTCGAGACCCCCAGACGGGAGAAAAAGAGAAACCAAAAAGGCAGGCCCTAAAGAAAGATCAGTGCGCTTACTGCAAAGAACAGGGGCACTGGAAAAACGAGTGCCCTAAGAGGGACCCGAAGAGAGGAACGACCCAGAGAGAGGGAATCTCCCCTGGAACTCGAGTTCTATATGCGGGGGAAGACAGTGACTAGGGGAGTCAAGACTCAGCACCCCTCCCCGAGTCCTGGGTAACCATACCTGTGGAGGGGAAACCCGTTGGCTTCATGGTAGATACTGGCACCTAACACTCTGTTTTAAATCAAAAACTGGGACCAATGTCTAAGAAAACCAGCTTGGTGCAAGGAGCCACAGGGACAAAAAGATATTGTTGGACCACAGAATGAAAAGTAAATCTTGGGACCCACCAGGTGTCCCATTCGTTTTTGGTGATACCAGAATGCCCAGCCCCTCTACTTGGAAGAGACTTGTTGACTAAAGTTAATGCTCAGATTCATTTTGACCCTGGGGGAATGCCAGTCATGGATGGGCTTGGACAGCCGATACATGTCTTATCCCTACCCTTAAGGGATGAATACAGACTTTTTGCACCTATGCCCTCAGAGGTCATAGCACCAGATGTACGACCGTGGGTCCACAAATACCCATTGGCCTGGGCAGAAATGGCAGGGATGGGACTGGCCAAACAGAGACATCCAGTCGTCATCGAACTAAAAGCCGAGGTGACTCCTATGAGGGTGAGGCAATACCCTATGAGCCAGGAGGCTCGGCGGGGGATCACTCCCCACATTCGACGGCTCATGGATGCCGGAATTCTCAGGCGGTGCCAATCCCCTTGGAACACCCCCTTACTGCCGGTGAAGAAACCAGGGGGGACAGATTACAGGCCTGTCCAAGACCTGGGAGAAGTCAACAAGCGGGTGAGTGACATACACCCCACTGTCCCTAACCCGTATACCCTCCTGAGCAGTCTGCTGCCTGAGTACACTTGGTACGCTGTGTTGGACTTGAAAGATGCTTTTTTCAGCCTACCCCTGGCGGCCCAGAGCCAGGAGATATTTGCCTTTGAGTGAACCGAGGGGGAGAGCCAACCAGTAGTACAATTAACATGGACCCGCCTCCCACAGGGGTTCAAGAACTCCCCTACCTTGTTTAATGAGGCTCTGAGTGAAGACCTCTACGAATATCGGACTCGCCACCCAGAGGTCATCCTACTACAATATGTAGATGACCTTATGTTGGCTGGAACCACAGAAGAGGCATGCAGCTGTGCCACCGGGGACCTCTTACAGACTCTAGGCACTTTGGAGTATCGCGCTAGCGCAAAGAAGGTGCAAATAGCCTGACAAGAGGTCACCTATTTGGGGTATAAGATCAGGCAGGGGCAAAGGTGGCTAACCCAGGCCATGAAGGAAACAATATTGCAGATACCAGAGCCCAAGACCCCCGCCAGGTGAGGGAGTTTCTGGGGACTGTTGGATATTGCAGACTGTGGATCATGGGGTTTGCTGAGAAGGCCCAGCCCTTGTACGAGGGAAGTAAAGAGACCCCAAACTGGACTTGGACTGAGCCAATGAAACAGGCTTTCCAGACACTCAGACGGGCCCTACTAGAAGCCCCAGCCCTTGCCCTGCCTAACCCAAATAAGCCATTCCAGCTGTTTGTAGATGAGAAGCAAGGAATAGGAAAGGGGTCTTGACGCAACAATGGGGACCATGGAAGCGGCCGGTGGCATACCTTTCGAAGCGATTGGACCCGGTGGCCGCTGGGTGGCCCCCTTGCCTCCGCATCATTGCAGCCACTGCCCTCCCCGTCCGCGACGCTGACAAGTTGACGTATGGACAGCAACTCTGGGTTTACACCCCCCACGCCATCGAAGGGGTTTTGAAGCAGCCACCGGGTAAGTGGATCTCCAATGCCCGCTTGACACATTACCAGGCCCTGCTGCTCGATGCCCCACGGGTGCGTTTTCAGACCCCTTGCTTCCTGAATCCAGCCACGCTCCTACCTAACCCAGAGAAAGACCGCCCTCTCCATGATTGCAGTGAGATACTGGCTGAGGCCCTGGCGGCACGAAAAGACTTAACTGATGTACCGCTAAGCAACAGTGAGCTAGTATGGTTCACCAATGGGAGCAGTTATGTAAATGATGGGCAAAGGAAGGCGGGAGCCGCCATAGTTGATGATTCGGGACAGACGATATGGGCTGAGACACTTCCCCCCAACACTTCTGTGCAAAAAGCAGAATTGATTGCCCTAATACAGGCTCTGGAGCAAGCCAAAGGGAAGAGAGTCACCATTTTCACTGACAGCCGATATGCTTTCAGCACTGCCCATATTCAAGGTCCCATATACCAAGAAAGGGGATTTCGGACAGCTGAGGGAAAAGAGGTCAAAAATTTGCCCGAGATTCGCAGGCTCCTGGAAGCTGTCCAACTGCCCCGGGCAGTAGCTATAGTACATGTCCCCGGTCACCAGAAAGAAGAGGACCCAAAGGCACGGGGCAATCGTGCCGCTGATGCGGCTGCTCGAGAAGCGGCTAGCCGGGACTATGCCACCCCCATATTAGCCGTGGGACTTCCACCTCCTGGTATGGGGACTCTGCCACCAGTTCCCGAATATTCCCTCCCTGATCTCGCCTGGATCAACGAGGATACCACCCTCCAGAAGGATGACCAAGATGGATGGTACCGAGACCAAAACAACAACCGGATATTGCCTGCCATCCTGGGTCGTCACCTGTGTGAACACCTGCACGCAACTACACACTTGGGAGAAAGAAAGACCCTAACACTTCTCCAGACGGCCTGCCTGAGGTTCCCTCAACAAAATGCAACTGTACGAGAGATAATTCAAGCCTGCAAAGCTTGCCAGCTGATGAAGGCAGAGAAGAAGCAGCACTCGGGAACGAGGTACCGAGGGGAAAAGCCAGGCCAACACTGGGAGATAGATTTCACTGAGGTAAGGCCAGGCAAGTACGGGTATTACTATCTGTTGGTTCTGGTAGATACCTTCTCGGGGTGGGTGGAAGCTTTCCCCACTAAGGGAGAGACAGCAATAGTGGTTGCTAAAAAGATCTTAGAGGAAATAGTGCCTAGGTATGGGCTGCCAGTGACTATGGGCTCTGATAACGGACGTGCCTTTGTGAGCCAGATTGTACAAGGGCTGGCCCAAGCTCTGGGGACGAAATGGAAGTTACATTGTGAATATAATCCCCAGAGCTCAGGACAGGTTGAGAGAATGAATCAGACCCTAAAAGAAACTTTGACAAAGTTGGCAATAGAGACTGGCGGGGACTGGGTGACCCTTCTTCCCTTCACCCTCTTTCGGGCACGTAACACCCCTTATAAGCTGAATCTTACCCCTTTTGAGATTCTGTATGGAAGACCCCCTCCTGTGTGTCCTATTTTCAAAGGAAAATGCCTGCCACCCCCTACTTTGGGACAATTCCAGCAAACCCTGATGGCATTAAGTAAGGTACATAACCATGTTTGGAAATTGATTCGAGAGATATACGAGGGCCAAAATAAGGGGGCCATCCCCTCATATAACATTGGCCCAGGTGATTGGGTTTGGGTAAAACGGCACCAATCTAAGGTATTAGAGCCTAGATGGAAAGGCCCTTATGTTGCTCTCCTTACCACTCCTACCGCTGTCAATGTCGACGGGATTGGACCCTGGGTTCACTGCAATCACGTGCGGCAAGCCACACCAGAAGAACAGGAAAAAGCGCGAGCAGAATGGAAGGTGAGTCCTCACCCGTCAAATCCTTTGAAACTGAAACTCGCCCGCCGGGAGGCCTCCTAATTCTCCTGCTGATGGAAGCTCTCATTGACCCAGGAGCGACCAGTCACAACCCCCATCAACCTGCTAAGATCACCTGGAAACTCAACGACGGGCAGACTCATGAGCTGCCTCATGAGTCTTCAAGACCTCCAAGACCTCAGGAATCCACCCTCCTAACACCTGGTGGCCAAATCTATATTTTGACCTCAGGAGACTCTTTGGTACTGGGGCAGGGTGGCATGGGGGGCGAGAACACAACTACCATGTGTTACAGAAATGGGCGCTTATTAACACAGACAAGGGATGGTCAGCAGAGGGGTTCTGGGCTTGCCCGGGCAACATAAGAAATAATTGGAAAACCTGTGGTGGCTTGGAAAACTATTATTGCAGGGATTGGAGTTGTGTGACCTCTTTTTTTTTTTTTTAATTTATTTATTTATTTATTTTTTATCACAACCATAGTGTATCTTTTTTTTTTTTTTTACATGTATTCCCCATCCCGGTCCCCCCTCCCACCTCCCTCTCCACCCAATCCCTCTGGGTCTTCCCAGTGCACCAGGCCCGAGCACTTGTCTCATGCACCCAACCTGGGCTGGTGAACTGTTTCACCCTAGATAATATACGTGTTTCAATGCTGTTCTCTTGAAACATCCCACCCTCGCCTTCTCCCAGAGTCCACAAGTCTGTTCTATACATAGGAGTCTCTTTTTCTGTTTTGCACATAGGGTTATCGTTACCATCTTTCTAAATTCCATATATATGTGTTAGTATACTGTAATGGTCTTTATCTTTCTGGCTTACTTCGCTCTGTATAATGGGCTCCAGTTTCATCCATCTCATTAGAACTGATTCAAATGAATTCTTTTTAATGGCTGAGTAATATTCCATGGTGTATATGTACCACAGCTTCCTCATCCATTCATCTGCTGATGGACATGGGCATCTAGTACCTCAGGTACGAGTACAGTTTAACCAGGAAAGGGCGAAGAAAGAAAACAGGTGGACCTCCAGATTGACTTGGGGATTTCAGCTTCATGTAAGTTGGCCTGGTCCCTATCCTGGTGGGTTATTAATCATAAAACAGGTTGTTGAGCCGGTGCAGGTACATAGTTTGGGTCCCAATCTGGTCAAAACATCACAAGGGCACAAGGGGTGCAAGGCAACCCCCAAGCCAACCACCTCCAGACCAAGCTCGCCGGGAACATTTAACATCTCCTCTACCCCGAGCCTCAGAGGCAAACTGACGGAAACCCCTGGCCCTCTGGCTGTTAACATTAGCTCAGCAATTCAGGACCCCCTATGGGCCTTAGCGAATGCAGCCTTTACGGTCTTAAACCATACCAACCCTAATGCGACCCAATCCTGTTGGCTTTGTTATAATCTCCACCCCCCTACTATGAGGCCATAGGCCTCAATGTCTCTCACCACTTGTCTTCAGGCCAGAACCCACCCCAATTCCGATGGGAAGAACGCAAGGTTGGCCTCTCAATGAATGAGGTTTGGGGACAGGGACTCTGTTTGGGCACAGTGCCACGTGATAAAACTCCCCTCTGTGCCCAGACTATTGGTAACCTACGCTTACACGGCAAAAATTAGATTGTGCCAGAGGTTGGGGGTTGGTGGATTTGTTCACATACTGGGCTAACCCCATGTTTAAATGTGAGGGGTTTTAGCCAGAGTCAAGAATTCTGTGTCCTTCTTGCTGTAATGCCAAAAATCTTATACCACTCTGAAGAGGTTATGTACTCACATTGGGACCAGGAAATGCTAAGACAAAAGAGAGAGCCAATCAGTGCGATCACCATGGCAACCTTGTTCAGTCTTGGGCTGGCAGGAACAGGGACAGGAATAGCTTCACTGTCTCTGCAAGGCCAAGGGTTTTCCTCCCTACGAGCCGCTGTAGATGAGGATATAACTCGCATAGAAGAATCAATCAGCCACTTAGAGAAGTCTCTGACTTCCTTGTCTGAGGTGGTCTTGCAGAATAGGAAAAGATTAGACTTGGTTTTTCTCCAGCAGGGTGGGGTCTGCGCGGCTCTGGGAGAAGAATGTTGTTTCTATGCACACCATACAGGAGTGGTAAGAGAATCTATGGCAAAAGCGAGAGAGGGACTGGCGCAACGCAAGAGGGAACGGGAGGCCCAGCAGGGATGGTTTGAGTCTTGGTTTCAACGCTCCCCCTGGCTGACCACCTTAGTTTCCACCCTCCTGGGCCCACTTATAGTGCTATTATTAACACTCACGTTTGGCCCTTGTATTTTAAACCGGCTAATGTCATTTATTAAAGAACGTCTAAATACCATTCCGATTATGGTATTGAGGCAACAATATCAGACGGTAGCCCAAGATGAAGAGAAAGATTCCTCTACAGAAACAAGACAGGGGGGAATGTGAGGCTGCCAGGGCTAACACCATGACAGGCGGCCTGGACCTAAGTTTCAGTTTCCCCTGAAATGGTAAGATTCCCTACCCCCATCAGGCCGCCTGGAGCCAGCCAATCAACATGCGCCCAGTAAGAAAAAGGGACTCTATCAGGGGAAAGCTGAAAAGCCCGCGAACGCCCAAGTTTGAAAAAAGCCCACGAAAGTTTGGACCAATAAAATTGCTTGGCAAACGTAACAAATCTGCTTAAGCCAGCTACCAACTGCTTATGCTCACCCTATAAATTTGTGTAACAGCTCGGGCTCGGGGCTCTCTGACCCCGCACCACTGCGTTGGATGCGGCAGGAGCCCTGACTTGAATCAGCAATAAACTTCCCTTTTTGCGAGTTGCATTGTCTTGGAAGGCTTCTCTCTTCCCACTGGGGGATTCGGACATCGGGCATAACAATCTCATCATACCAGGACCAAAGGGGAACCTCCAGTGAGCTCCTGTGGGGGATGGATTCAGAGGAAATTACTCTGATGGATGACGGTGAGGTCCAGGCACACCTGTGGAAAGCCAGCACTGAAAACAGGAGGAAGAAATAATAAGGCAGAATCACAAGACAAAGTGCTGAGTGAAAAAGACGCCTTTACAAAAAAGAAGAGATTCTATAAAAATGATATCAAGCAAATGGTTACCAAAGGGAAAACCACAATCCATTTAGTTTGCCACAGAGCCGTCCCATCTGCTCAGGAGACCCTGCAGCTCATCCTCCAGGACA